CCCGAAGGAGGAAGCCTGTTTTGGAGCGCCTCGGTCCACTTCCCAAAGAACGAGGCAAAACTCCAGTTCGATAACGGTTGGGGCCAATGAAGAAGTCCCAAACAATTCAACATGCTGGGGGTTGCCGCAACCCTCAACATTTGGAGAAAATCGTGGCACCCAAGCGCACAACTTTGCGCATCGAAGTGCAGGAACCCGCTGAAGATTCACACCCACAAAGGCGCGTTTCGAGGCGTGTGACTCTGGAGAGCTCAAAGAAGGAAATTCATTCTCAGAAGGAAACGTTGTTGTCTGATGACGATGACGTTATACCTGGGAGATCGTGCCAACACACGATAGGTTGCTCCGACTTTCAAACGGACAAGCTGTACTATCCCCTGTTCCAAACTCATTCGGGCGGTATTGTCCGAATGCAACTGCATCAAGGCGGTCCCCGAAAGAGTTTCAGTTTTTGAAAGACTCAGTATGGAAGCGCCAAAGCCAAGGACTAGACGTTTCCGAAGAAGAAGAACAATGGTCGAAGATGGTGAACGTTCAAGGGTCACTGCCAACATGACCAGCAAGGGGACATCGGCACGGGATGATTTCGAGTCGAGCCAACGCCTCTACTGTTCAGGGCGTTGTGACTCTCTCAAAGAGAGCCCGCCAGAGGCGTCGTCAACGCCTTGCGCGGCAATTCGCTAAGGCGATGGAGTCTACGGACGGATTCCGCTACCACGCGGAGTTGAAGAACAGAAGAGGCAAACAGCCTCAACCACCAATGAATGGCGACTCTTCCAAGCCGCCAAAGAAAGAATGGGTCCGCGTCAAACGGAACCGTTCGACACTCGAGGAGCGCATTCGCAAGCGCCGCGCGATGTCAGCGCAGGCACGGGCTCAAGCTCAGGAAGCCCGTAGAAAGCTGCAAAAGGAGGTGGAGAAGAAGCCACCACCAACACGACAAGTCTGGAAGCCTAAGTCTGAAGTGGCGACTCAGGCCAAAAAGCAACCAGTGCAGCCTTCTAAGGAAGGTCAAACTCCGGCGAGTCAACCAAAGTCGCCGTCAATCCCAATAACTTCTCCGGGAGATCATGCAGAGTCATCCCGCAAGAAGAAACCAATTTTGGAGCGCCTCGGTCCAATTCCTGACGTGAGAGGCAAAGCTCCAATTCACGAGCGTTTGGGCCCGATGAAGAAGCCCAGAACGACTCAACATACTGGGGGTCGCCATCACCTCCAGCATGACAAAGACCTCAAGGCAGCTGCGCGCACCAATTTGCGCATTGAAGTCCAAGATCACGCCGAAAATTCACGCCCAAAAAGGCATGTTTTGAGGCGGGTAACCTTTGAAAGCCCAAAGAAGGCAAGTCAACCTCAGATGGAAACATTATCATCTGATAATGATTGTGTTGTACCTGAGAAGGCGTGCCCGCACACGATAGGTTACTCTGACTGTCAAAATGACGAGTTGTACTATCGTGCTGGGGGTACGAATAGAACCAGGAAGAGGAGTCCCCGAGAACGGGAAATTCAATGTCCCTGTTCCAAACTCATTCGGGCGGTATTGTCGGAATGCAATTGCATTAAGGCGGTCCCCGAAAGAGTTTCAGTTTTTGAAAGACTTAATGCGGAAACGCCAAAACCAAGGCCTAGGCGCTTCCAACGAAGAAGAAGGGTGATTGAAGACGGAGAATTTCCGAGGGTCACCACCAACATGACGAGCAAAGGGACATCGGCACGAGAAGATTTCGAGTCGATTCTGAAAGCTTCCCGACCTAGAACCCGTCTGCAGTCCGGAACCATAGAGCGAGCAACTTATGGTAGGATTCGGACAAGACGCCCTTCAGAAGATGAAGAATCTGATGCCGGCTCCGCGGTGGCATCAGATAATACAGTATCCAGCGAGGGACAACCCCGCGAGGCCCTGATGATAAGTGCGGAGCAGATGGCCAAGATGCTTGAAGACGCTTTGGCTAAGCAGAAAGAAAGTTTCAAATTTGAGATGGAGATGGCCATGCAGCAGATGAGAGAAATGCATGACCAACAGATCCAAGCATTGGCGAACCAACAAGGCGAGCAGAATCATCGTAACCCGATTAATGTGGAAGATGAGGATACAAATGCTCGTAACACCAATGATCCTCCCGTCAACGCAGGGGGTGGTAATGAGAATGCTGGCGAAGAAACCGGCGAAAACCTGAAGATCAAGAACCTCGAGAGCAAAATCAACACACTAATTTCCGCTCAAGAGACGAAGAAAACAGGCATTCCTTGCCCATACCCAAGAGAATGGGAATCGATCCCATATCCGGCGAAGTTTAATCTAATTAACTTCACGCCGTTTAATGGGATGGGTTCACCTACCCAGCATTTGATTTACTTCAAATCGCATTTGGGGGTGATCTCTGGTAATGAGCCTCTGATGGTGCGGTCATTCGTCGGCACTCTTCGCGGAGCCGCCTTCGATTGGTATCGCCGCCTCAAGCCAGGCAGCGTAAACAGCTGGGATGACATGGAGACCAAGTTCCTGGCCAACTTCTTCGACGACGACACCGAGATATCTATCGGATCGTTGCTCGATGAGAAGCAGAAGGACGGAGAGTTAGTCGATACCTTCGTCAAAAGATTCCGGAACAAGGCGATGAATTGCCGGGACCCGATCACCGAGGAATTCATCCTCCAGACCTGCCACAACAACCTCGCGTTGGACGTGCTAGAAGCAATGGGGACAGCACCATCCAATACATGGAAGGACTTGAAAGTCCGGGGAGAGCAAGCTGAGCGATTCCTCAAGAGGAAGAAGGCGGAAAGAGGCCAACCGGCGACGAGTGTTCCAAAGCAAAACTTCGTCCCACGGGGGAAAGGTAAGGCACAAGCTAATGCAGTTGATGCTAATCAAACCTTTCAATTGCAACCACAGCAACAGCAGCCACAGCAACAAGCACCCCAACAATCTCGAGGACAATGGCAACAACGG